TAGATAAGCAGGCCTCGAAAATATACAGTACATGTATATAAGGCTTTACTGTGTCTGCTTGACCAATGTGGTGTCCACCTATAGGTGAATAATTTAAACCTGTAGATAAATAGGAACTATAACCCTATATGTCAATAATATAAGCTCGCTACGATCATGGGCTTTACGAGGAACGATAGAAATCAATTTTTGTTCGTAAAAAAAGCACTATCGATGCCATTAATGATACTAAACTTCTATGTTTCGAGCTTTACGTTCGGTATCGCCGTAAGGCATTCCATATCATGCTGTGAACCAGCATGAAGGGAGGTGTGTCCATGAGCGGGTACCAACCCAGACCCGAAAATTGGGTTGCTCACTAAGCTATCACGGGGACAATGGTGTTTAACCTAATGAGCACTTGTAACTCCAATTGACTAGAGGAGCGTTTTAATCAAACAGAGGTTTTACATAAACGTGTATGTCCTGAGCGATTACTCGACACATCGTATTACGCTGTAAATCGCACAAAGCTCTGTTAGCATTGACTATACTTTGTTGAATTAGGGTAACACCTGTTGTCGAGTGCAAGTACTTACCTCACTTGATGGTAAATACGGTCAGCTCTATTCCTGAAAGCAACAATTTCATCAAGATAAATTTCCAGCGACGTTCCGATATTGCCATAATCGGACCGCTGTAGGAGACAGGTGCTATATTTGTGCTGACCTATTCAGCAAACAGTTGCGTGGGGGTTTTTCGTCTGTCGCCGCTAGCGAGATACTTGGAAAGGAGGAAGATTGTTTTGTGGCCGTGCGTAACAAATGCCTCTCGTAACACATATGCGACGTTCTGACAACGTATGATCATGCGCTCATCCGGTGTCTGTTACGTGTTCTCGAGAGCAGAACTGGCCACGTACTCACATATGTGATTTTCATTCATAACAGTTGCTCGTTAGTGATAACGGAAGAACTATGTACTATAGTATCGCCGTTGGCCAATTATTGCTTAGCTACGATTGCATCTTGGCCCGTTTCTGCCTCGGCCGTCTCAAATGGGAAAAAGCTCAGAAGGAAGTGCGTATTTCGTCGTAGTTTCGTCTGCTGATGCTTTTGTCGCCGCTGCCTGCTGGTATTACTGAGTTATGAATCTACGAGTAAAGTGATTGTTCAGCTAACGCTCGCTCGTGAAGAGGCAAACGATAAGAACCCGATAAATAAGTGGCCTTAAATGTATCGCAGCTGATATGTACGTTACTGTCGAGCAATGAGCAATAGTTTTCTAGAACACAGCATACGAGAAGGAGTCGTTGGATTTCCTGTACTGACTCTACGTATTAGTTCGTACTTCGCGCTAAACGTTTATATGTATATATAGTACTAATTAAGCTTGGCAAATGTTGTGACAAACAAGTACCGAATGTCCTGCTGTGACATAAGCGAGGTCGTAGATCTGACCAAGTTTGATGGTTCCCGAAGCGCTAAGTGAGGGTTTTTTGCTATGCGCGTATTTTGACACTCGATGCCCTATGTACAGCGGCTAAACACTTTCAAGAATAGAGGATAGATGTGGACATGCAACTGCATAAGCTTCCCTGCACTTTATGGCGAGTGTTATATCGTATAGTCAGGCTCCGCGAAACGCGCTTTCTTGCCCTCTCGCTATGTATATATGTATACATATGGTGTTGAGGATGGGTTAGGATGTCGAGAAGGAGATCGTATAGTTTCCCGAGTGAAGTAGTTGGCGTCGACTTGAAGGGAATCATCAAACAGAATAAATCCTTGCAGTACTGGTTCATAGAGAGGCGTTGTGTTTGGCTCTATTGCCTGCACATCCTTCAGCGCGAAAATTCTTAGCGATGGGAGGTACCCTACGGCAGAGTTTGACTACAGCTAGATAATCAGGCATCCTTCTGTCTGCCTCCTAACGATACTTTCTTTCGGCAGGCAGAGCTGACGGTGGTGCGTACTGAAATGCCGGCCCGGAACGAAACTGATTCAACCTGCACGGCATCCTGTACTGCGGACAACCTTTGAATATTATGTATACAATTTTGTCGTAGCAATCTTCGACTTGGTGTTAATATTCTTGTTTTGTGTTTCGCTTCTTGCTGTTATCCTGACAATCAGTTCTAATGCTCCATCATGATTAACATAATAAATTGACAAGGACGATTCTATGAAAAAGATTCTTAACGCTTAAATAGATTTTTGTTATTTAGTTTAGAACGACTAAATTATTTATAACGCACACATACGGGCGTGCTTAGGTATTGGGTTTAGTTTGTGGATTAGCAAGCAGGTATAGTTTAGAAGATTTTACGCTCTTATATCAAAAACTGAATATACATACACATAAATACTCAACCAGCAATCTGACAGGCAATCTGGACCTCGCTGGCTCTAACTGTATAATGTTTATGGAAGCCGCTAGAACTAAACCTTAATGGACCTAATCGACAAGAATCCTATGCGCGCTTTCGAAAAAGAAGTATGATACGTTTTCAACTATATATATATATATATATATATATAAGATCGATAGCAATTTTCATACGTTGGCTAAGCCACCGTTCGTGAGGGCTCTAATGAGACACGTAAGGTAATTAGCATCTTTCTATTGATTCAGCCATCAGAAGGTGCCTCCATGAACATTGGTCGGTCGAGTTGCGAATCTGAACGTACTATTTCGTCCGTGTGCATTTTACCGCGCTGTTTCTTAATTTTTAATGAACAAAGTCGACCGAGCAAAGAAAGTTCGTCGGAAAATTGAGCCGTAACCCAGGAGGGATCTGATCGGTTTTTTTTTTTTTTCGTTTTTAGTTGCATCGCTCACACATTAACTTGGGATTTAGCTAAGTGCTGCCAGTCTTAGTCCGCACAGGATACTGTAGTAGAGATCTGCAGTTGATACGTAAAAGGTAACGCGTTCGAAGAGGACAAACTGTCGATCAACCAGTCTGACATGAGGAAAAGTATCAAGGCAACCCTTTAGCTAACGTACCCTGCAATAGAGCATATTTTACCTGGCATAATTTTATAAAGGTGTTATACTAATTTTATTTACTATGCAAAATGATGGCTATTTATGGTGTAAATAGACTGGATACTTTCCTGGTAACCCGAATTTGAAGGCGTGTGATGCCCGCGACTTGACGTGAAGCTCTTATGTTGTCGTTTGCGAGCGCCCCTCTCGGATGGGGCGAGAACTACACATAGACGAAATTCGTACCATCATGCGGCGGGTTTGTTATCTGTGGGACGCTGCTAGGGGCGGCATCAGCAGTTTCGGTGCGCTTTGTTGCCGGAAAGAAGGACCTTAAGAGAAGCCTGTCCTGTTAGAGGTCCTTTCTGAATCAAATTGCAGGATGAGTTATAAGCTCAGTTTGAATCTGACTGGGATGCGCTGCGGCAGATCGTAGCATGATGGCAATAGAAAAGAGTTCTACGAGTTTTATGGACTCAGGTGGACCCACAGCAGCTGCCGAAACTGCCGCGTTGCTGGCTGATGTTCGGCGTCCAATGTTGCTCCTGCCGCCGCGACTGCTGCTACTTCCGCTGCTGCGGAACCGGAAGAGAAGGTATCGGAGGAGGTGAGGCCTCCGGAGCAGCAGAAAGGAGGCTTTGAGCAGGGAAAACAGCGCGCCCTTGGCAGTACAAACTGAATTGGTAGCCAGCCACCGGGTGCTGGCATCCTGCACTTTTAGAGCAACGTCCTTTCAGCTGGCGCCGTTGCTAACATTACTGACGCTGCTCCTGTTGCTACAGTCAGGAGAAATAACAAAGTAGATCCTTGAGGCCCCAAGACTTCATTCCCTTTCCAGCATCGGTAACGATGGTAGTGACGGCTGTAAGAAGAGTTCGGTTCATAATGTGTGCTTCATGTGGCAATCGCCTGCTGCTGCTTCTAAGTGGTACGAGTGTACACGGTCAAGTATGATTGTGTTGGGAATAAGGGACGAGGGCAAAAATATGATACTACCATCTTACAACTACTAAGAGCAGCGGCACACAACAGGGGCAAACTGCTTCAGTTTTTTAGCCCTTTTCCGTCGGTTGTTTCCTGGACTGCTGCTGCTCCGTTCATATAACGGTGCTGCTCGAGGGGCCACGCGCTATGGAGCGCGACTGCCTACAGATTACGTACAGCACGGAGCACGAACAGCGGTATTCCGCTGGGCAAGGCAGGGTAACAGCCAGGCCCCGAACAAACGGACGAAAAAGCACAAGAACGAAGATCGCTGGAAGAGAGGTCTGTCTGTTCCCTCAAGTACTTTTCATCCTCTCCATTCCGCCTCTCTCCCGAGATCGGAAAGGCGCATCCCCACATGCTGCTACTGCCACTATTACCAGACACTTCAGACATCCGGCCACTCTTACACAGCAGCAGCAACCCGTTACACATACATACACCCGCAGGCACACATACGAACGCACATGCGGGCACTCTCTCACAGACTCATATAAGCACAGACCTACACAGCATTGCTAGCAGCAGAACATCGACGGGCCAAAGGCGCCAAGATCCAAAGGCACGACGCAAACCAGCTAACGGCTCGACAATCGTCTGCTGCTGCTGCTTTTGTGAGTAGTCGAAGCTGTGGCGCTGCAAGGCGTTTGTAGAGACCTTCTTTTTCGCACAGGCATCACTACTGGCGAGAGCAACACAGAGAGCGAGTCGTCGGTCGTTGCGCGTTGTCGATTCGTCAGCGGTACACAGACACGCACTCAGCAGGACGCACTTACCGCAGCAAGTTCAGTGGACACGGCGCGCATGCGCGCCATTGCTTTGCCAGCGCTACCGCGTGCTTTCCTCCTCCGCCTGAAGTCTCCTCTCCCTCTTTGGCGCTCCGGGTGCTCGCACGACGCCGACTCGGTTCCCTCTGCCTCAGCACGATGGTTACGACCGGCTGGTTGCTTCGTTGCAGACAGGCGATACTGTAGGACGGTGGTGCAGTAGGCCATAGGGTGTGAGCTAGGCAGCCGGGCCAGCAAGGCTGCTCAACGTTCGCGGCTGTCTCCTCCAAGAGATAGCGGACGATCGGGACAGTGGTAGCAGCAGCGGCAGCCGCAGTGGTCTCAGCAGCAGCAGCAGCAGCAGCTGCAGCAGTAGGAGAGCAGGGAGACCGCGCAGTCAGACTAGACAGCACGACGAGAGGAAGACGGTACACGGGACGACGACGACGACCAGCAGTCAGTCAGTCAGTCAGTCAGTCGGTCGGTCGGTCGGTCGGTGCGGTGATCGCAGTCGGTTACTCTACTGTCTCGGTAAGCGACGAGAGAATACAGCCAGAGCACGAGTGGCCGGAGACAGAGGCAAAGGTGCTGGAGCGCTGAGGCGCTGGAGTGGTGGTGTGGACTGTGGAGAAGAGCTAATCCGCGATCCGGCGACGAACCGGCTTGCTTGTCTGCCTACCTGCCGATCTGAAGCGGATCGCTGAGCCAGCGAAATGGGTCGGCGGCCTAGTTTTGTCCGTTCGTAATTTGATGTTGTCGTATACATGTGTGTGCAGAGGCGAGCGATCGAACGACGGGCCTGCAGGGACGACGTTAACGAGGAAAACGATACGCCATTCTGGTTAGAACTAGTATGATAGCGGTGCAGAGGTAATGACAGCGCTGGTACGCGTTTTCATATAGTTTAACGTAAGGATCCCTGCCACCGATTCTCAAGATCGTTTGTCTGGTCCACGGTAGCCAACAGAAACATTAGCTGGATTCCGACGATAGCAGCTGTAAAAGTTTTGGCATTGAGGCCCCGGTGCAGGATCAGGAATCGTAGAATCAAACCCTAAAGGAAAACTAGTAAGTGAGACGAAGCAAGTGCTGACGCAGTGATTTTTCCGTCTCTACGGTGCGTGAGAAAGAGAGCAACTTATATGACAGCGAAAAAAAAAGAACAACAAGGATAGATAAAAATCACCTGAGACATGAATATAGGAAAAAAAAAAAAGATATAAGTTAGGAAAACGGGAAGAACTTTGCGCGAATCAACTATGTTGCCCTCGGAATGCTGGCACTGAAACCCGCGCCGCGCGCAAAGCCGCCTGTAGTGTGGCCATTTTTACTACAACTGTTAGTACAATAACTAATCCTGCAATCGACGCTCGAAGGTTCGCAACAAACGGGAAAAACAGACCAAAATCAAAATACGAAAGAGAAAGGCTGGCAGAGGTACGCGCGTATATTGCGTACACACACGTTTCTTCATTCCAAACCTCTGTTCGTGTTGAGTCTTGTCCTTTCTGGTTAGCTCCGAGTACCGGGTGAGGATTATCCAAGCCGGCCAAAAACACCGTTCGTTCGAAATATCGCTTGTCGCACCAGCTGAAAAGAAAGGTTATTATAATTAGTTAATTGTGCAATAAATCTAGAAGAGGGATCCAGCAGTTCTCAGTGCGGGGTTCTCCCTCCCTGCCTCCCTTCCTCTCTCCGCCTAAAAAAGAAAAACACCTGCTACCAAATCCCGTTGTTCGTTGTATTCGTCGCCTTCGAAAACAGTTTGCGCCATTGTGTAAGTGTGTCATTATTCATTTCCTCCGGTTGCCTGGAAGTGTGAGTTATCCCAAATGCAGTTGAATCTTAAAAATCACTAATACAGTTGACACTATCTCTGCACAATTATTATTCAGTAACGACAAGGAAGTTCTTCACCGATCGACTAAGCGGTGCGTAGTTTATCACCGGACGTGAGTTGAGGTCAGGTGAGAGTGACAAACGGACTCTGGACGAGTGCAATGGCCTTGGAGCAGTGACTTGTATTTCGATCAGCATCGTTGTGTGCGTGGAGGACATTCGGCGCGTGGAAAAGTAAAAGATAAAAACCAAGAAGGAGCGACGGCATTAAAAACGGTCAGTGATGGGGTCACCAGGAAGTTCGGCTTGCAAAGTCGGCGCGATCAACAACAACTACAGAAACAGCAAGACGACAAGAGTCTGACCGCCGACAGACAGCATTGTGGAACAACAAACAGCCGCTAACGCGGAGTGGTTCCTGCCATATGAGTGTACGTGTGTTGCCTATAATGGATGCGTGCGTGGGTGTCCTGCCGCGAATGTTGAAATGACGGATTGACGGAGTAGAGACTGACGCATGTTGGAGCGTGACCGGAGGACCGATTCTGTCCTGTCCGTTTGTAAATGTGTGTGTGTGTGTATGTGTGTTCGTGAGCAAGGGGTGCGCGCGTAACTGCGAGAAGTCAACGTTTATGAGTTAAGTGTTATAGGGACGACTCACTTGTATATGTCGACTCTGTAGATTATTGTAAACAAACTCGCGACACAGACAGCACCAAGTCAGTGTTCGTTGTGTAGGGGGGCGAGCAAATAAACGATAGTTGCCAGCTAGGAAAGCGAAGAGTCCCATAAAGGAGACCCTGGGGACCCTCTCCAGCCAGTGGTCGGTCTTCGTTGGCGATGAGGTGCGGGCTCCAAGTACCCTGGTGGTACTTGCCCGCATCTTGCGCCACTTAGAAACCGGCTAGAAGAACATCGATGGCGAACGTCTGAGGGACGTGGCTGGCGAACGGATTGAGCGCGACTTAGTAATCGGTGGACAGCAGACAGGTGGTGCACTTGTTGGCACGGCCTCTTTCTGGCCCAGAATCAGTGGCAGTCATGCGGCTCCGGCTAACGGGTACAGCTTCAACAGGACGCCTGAGAAGCTACTCCTGTTCGTCTTCGGCCCGAGCACGGCATGCTAGCTTCGGTGAAGGTGGCGACCCCAACGTAAGCGGATGAGCTAGCCGGCCGCCAGGTCACTCGAGCTCGAACGTCAGTCGATTGAGCCCGGGGCATTGATTGTGAGCTTACACAGCAACGGCAGCGCCTCGCGTAGCAGAGCAGCAGCAGCAACACCAGCAACCGCTACGGAAAAAGCAGCAGCAGAGGTGTTGTATCGTGTTCGGGCAGAAAAAACGGAACAAGTCGAAGAGCGAAGGGGATTGACATCGTCGTAATGAAACGAGTGGCCACAGTAACAGCGAAGACGATAAAAAAGAAGACTCAAGATAGAGACGCGACAATTAGAATCAAAGAGTGAAACCGAACGGAAAAAGGGAAACAAGGCGGAAAACCATTTAATACGGCATACAGTACGATATACACGGTACGAGACCAGTTACCAGCAGTCCCCTTATCGCTTATGACCGCCTGCCGCCCAGGTTGCCTGCAAGCTCAACCGCGAAAGCCATCTTCAATTTCAACGCATAGAACTATTCCTATAACCAGTCTACTAAATAATTACTATCCAACTAATCCACGATAATACAATAATACCCTACAACTACAAAAGGGGCGAAGCAGCGACCCACACAAAGGCACAGACCGAAGATAAATCATTATTTTCCGCTACGCATTTACCTAAGGCATACGGTCAGTATACACGAAGTTCGTAGCTCACGCTCAAGTCACGCCATACAACACACAGTAAACGTAACGACGACGAAGACAACAATAAAAAGAAGATACAAGCTCAAGTTGCTCCGGTCAAGAGTGTATTTTTAGCAACAAACATATAACCGTCACAACAGCAGATACATCTACAGTAACGCGAACACCCACCTTAGACCTTCATCGACAGTTATACATGAATAGGGCGAAGCGATGACGTCGAAGACATAATAGAAGTATGCTTTTTCAAAATAACACTAAGGAAAACGTAAGCCATCCAACAACAGCGACGATAGCAAATAAAATTTAAGGGGATATATAGAAAGAACAAGCGATACGTCAAGAATAATTGTGACAATAGCAACAGCTACAAGTCAAAAAGGAAAAACGACCTATTTCACCTTTTTGGTAGAATATTCTATATATATATATATATATATATATATATATATATATATATATATATACACTAACTTTTATTCCTCGAGTCAGAAGTGGTCTTCAGAAAAGCGATTCAAAAATCCCGCCTCAGGATCGTCACCCGCCAGCGAGCGTCAACCCAGACAAACAACGTACATTTTCCGCATACGTAATTCTGATACGACAGAGTTTGATAAAAGACGGGCAGACTTCAACAGCAGGACAGCATTGAACAGATTAACAAACAACAAAAAGATAAATTAGCCAAGTCTCATAAAAAAGGAGACGCGTGCATCTGTATGCATGCATGCATGTATGTCTGTTCAGTAGGTGACTGTCTGCTACTTGACTGATTCGAACGCCTAATTAGAAACAAACAACTGACAACAGTCAAGACCCAACGAAGCAGCAGCTGTATATAAAAAGTATACGATAAAATTTATTGGAAAAGACATTTTGATTCTGTTTAAATCGAAAAAGACATAACAATTGACTGTTTTCCCGACAAATCAGTCCTCATCGTTATCAGCACTTGTGTCAAGCTCTTCGCTCATAACTATTGTTATTATATTTACTCACTGCAACTTCAACTTCTTAACGTCAGACCACAGTTAACAGGCAACGATATCAACCAAGACAGTATTCGTCGGACGATCTATCCGCCAACCATCGGCAGCGCCAACTGAACATAGAGGTATAAGTATTACAGATATTATTAACGGAATAGTAGCCACAGGCACAGCGGCGCCTACCACCTCCAGCAGTAGAATCAGCTGCGTGGACACGTTGAAAACGCTGACGACGAGGAGGACGACGTAGGTTAAAGACAACACCAGTCGTCCTAATTGTCATCCCCTGTTGTTGAAGTTGCACTGGTCGTTCGCTCGCGATTCATCGCGGGCGGGTGATTGGTTCGCGCGGCGGTTAACCAGTTGATGGATATCGGCTATAGCACAGGCTCACGTCAGGCTTACGAACAACAGGCCGCGGTTGCCCACCAGCAACAACAACAGACTGCGGCGCTGCAACAACAACAGCAGCAGCAGCAGCAGCAGCAGCAACAAAACAGCGGTCAACAACAACAACAGCAGCAGCAGCACGGTCTCCAGCAACAGCTGGTGCCACCGACTATTTCAGTGACCGTGTCCGGCACAACCGGCACAACGGCGTACACGAACCCTCCGCCGCCGGTAATTCCGGTGAATCCCCCGCCTCCGGTACCCCATCCCCCCATGACCACCCTCATCCAGGAACAGGCCCGTTACTCACACCCACCCGGTCACCGATGGATGCAACAAACCAATGTCCCACCAGGAAAATGTAAGTGCCAATTATGTGAAGGGAACAAAATAGTAGCTGCATTTTGTGCTCGTTTCGTCGCGGGTTTAGTTTGAACTGGAGAACTTGAGTCACTTTGTGAAGTTCTCTATGATTTCACGATAGCTTCTTAATGTTCGTATTTGTGCTAATACATATATGAAATGTTCAGAAATCTAGAAATGACGAGGTTCGTGAAGAAAATTCAATACTATTATTTTAATGTATAATTCAATATTGAATCAGCTTATTGCTAAGCCCTTATAAACAATATAGAAGTATCGGGCAGCCTCACAGATGTGATAGAATTTCTGTGCGCGGTGGGGTGAGGATAAAAAATCAGTTTTGCGAGTCACCTCCAACGCTTTCCATCCGATAGGTATATACGTGGCTTTAGTTACATGTAACTCTAATGATCTGTTAGACAAATAAGCGCACTGGTCACCTGTAAAAGTGTTAATAGCTTTCCTCCCCCCCACAATATATGCCTACAGTTTACGCATTAACGTTCATATCCCGAGACCTGTCGCTTTCGCCAAACGCTCACAAATATATTGCTTACCGGCTCGTTATCTTGGATCACATGACAGCACGACGGTCTCGACGCACCTAAACGGCTATCTTTCGTCAGACCTGAAAGGTCTTAGAATCTCTCATACAGAGTAAGACAAGACTCAAATTCTCTACGTCCACATGCACCTAT